TCGTAGTCCGATATGAACATGAGGGTCGAAGTAATATGAACAGAGCAATCGATACTTCTTCGACTAAATATGCATTATATATTGGCCCTTTAACTTTGGATTTGTTATTCATATTATTTTTTAATTTTTTAAGATACTTGCATTATATGTGTATGTTCCTTAACAAATATTTTTCAAAAGTAAATTAATAAAAGGTTTAAAATCAATATATTTACCTTTCAAAAGGATACATCCACCGATATTGGATCGGTCTTGCTATTTTTGCTTCATATGCCAAGTGTATTAGAAGATTTTCCATCGAATCAAAAAACTTAATGGAAAAATACACTCAAGTTTGCATAAATACATGACAATAGATGCTAATTTCTTTAAGAATAAGCTCAACTTAGTTAGTACTTGGCAAACATTTCCGATAACAAGTCACGAAATGCTACGGTATTAACCTCTACATAAATACATGATAGTCATGACTTTTCATGCCATATAATTCGAAGTTTTTCATATCAAGCACATCTAGACAAGTTCGATACATATTCATCGAGAAACTTGAGTTGTTTAATCCATTTAAGTCATTGTATTTTTTGTTATTTGTCTAAAGTGTAACACGCTTTAAGATATTTTTTAGAGTTTTCATCTATTTTTAATTCTAGTCGTCGACAATAAAGTATCAAGTCTTCTTTAGAGTTTGTGTTCTCTTTTATTTTTCTCAACACACTTATAATTGTATTAAACAGATTATTAAAGATATTTTTTTCAATGTACATCACATTCAAATTGTGTCAAATTAAATTAGAACTCTATTAAGAAAGATCTCAAAACATACTATTTTTTTCCAACCATAAACTCTAGATATATTGTTGTTACACTCTTCGAAGCCCTCTTCCATGACTTTTAACAACCACAATTTTGTATTTCATGCACACTTTTTTCCGGATATGATCGGAGAGTAATGTCCGTTACAATTGAATTTTGCTTGAACGTATTTTTTCTCCTAAAATGATGACTTTGTGCCAAAAACTTATGGTGACACACAAATCAAGAATTTTTTCGCAACTATAGAGACCGAAAGCATCATATTTTTTCATGTAATACCGACATGTTGTTTTACTCGTAATACTCCAACCGGATAACATTGAGTATGCAGAAAAGTCACCGATTGTCCACATGATAACGACTCGCATCTAGAAATTCTCCTTAAAGGATACATTATAGGTAAGCACACCAATTTTTCACAATTCAACCAACTTCTTAATTAAGGGCTATAAGTACAAGTCTAGATTGATATTTAGGCTTTTGGGTCCTATGAAAATTACAATTAAGAACATATATTCTTTCTTCATAGACTTCCACGATGGTAAATTGTAAGACGTTACAATAACGAGTCGTGAAGAGGATTGTTATCCAAATTGACGAAAAGGATGAAACCCATAAATGCGGACTTTCAATCTCACATTCCTAATTTTTGATGTAAAATTAGGATGTGTTTGATCAAAATGCTACCATATAAAGGAGTCGAATAATGATGTATGTGCTCGCCTCAACTATATGTTCCGCATGCCACGTCATGTCACCAACTATGATGATCGATGCATGCATCCTCCGTAACTAAAGGGTTAATAGAAAATAATATTTTTTGTATATGAGACATATGTTTTTTTAATGAATCCCCATATAGGACTTTGATATTAAGAATGTTCATAGAGTTTATAAGCGATTCTCTCGCTATCTTCACCCCAATAAATCATGCAACCATTTATATAGTTGTCGATCCATTGAACGGGTAAACCCATCATTTTCACTAATTTTTTTGCACTATAAAAGTCTTCTAGCATGAAGTTCTCGACAAACATTAACTCTTTCATAAGTTGACATAAGTCGTCGTAACACTTCTCCGAAAAATGATATTCGAACTTCGAGATGTAACAAAAGAGCCACTCGTCAATAACTATGGGTGGTTTTTTGAATTAGGTAAGATTTTTCTATTAGATGCATTCAACAAATCATAAAATGCTTGGACATAGGGGTTTAGGTCTTCGTCCGTGTTAGACGGATTAAATGATAAATTAACCGCATCTATCACCATTATGTGATATCGATTGGCTTAAGGTTCATCAAATTTTTTTTCGAGTTAAACAAAATTTACTAAATTATCATCATAATTAACCGACTCATTCTCTCCATGAAGACTCGACACGTAATACTCGGACATAAAATCATATTACATCGGATGGTGCTTCTATTGTAATTACAACGAGAGAAAGACAAAAGGATTAACGTGGTATAGTCATAAAAAGGATTAACGTGGTGTAGTCATAAAGACCTACATCCATGGAAGGAGATATATTCTTTTCTTTATTACTTTTATTGTAATTACAACAAAGGAAGGCTCTTTCTCTTATAGGGGACCAAATACCCCGTAATAAGAATGAGATAATTGGATACAAAATCAAGCTTGATTTTCTATGATTACAAGACCCTCTTATAATAACAAATTATATATTCCCCAAATATTACATCTTCTCGCATAATCCTAACATCAAGAAAGTCATTATTAGCCAAGATGGTCTTTGATGAAGAATGGTTTTTGCCATGAAATAGCATTATAGTACAAGAATAATTTTTTATGAACTTTGATGATGATAAGGATACGGATATGCAGCAAACTATGCTCACTCAAAATGTTCCGGATGTTCCAGTTGATGCTCAAAGTTCACCTATAGCTGAAGTAGTCAATGAACAACAATCATAACTTATTAGAAAAAGACCTACATGGATGTCCGATTAAAAGGTAACTGGAATTGACCAATTTGATAACCCACTTACTCATTTTGCTTTATTTTCCAATTGTGATCCTATAGCTTTCAAAGAGGCTACCAAGGATTCAAAATAGTGGAAGGCAATGGATGAGGAAATTGCAGCCATTGAAAAGAACAATACTTGGGAGTTGACCAATCTTCTAATAAGACACAAGAAAATTGGTGTCAAGTGGGTGTATAAGACAAAGTTGACAAGTACAAGGCATGCTTAGTACCTAAAGGCCATAAGAAAGAGTTTGGCATAGAGAAGTATTTGCTTATGTTGCACGACATGATACAATTAGATCGGTGCTTGCATTGGCGACTTAAAATTCACGGCTTATTTTTTAGTTGAACGTGAAATCAACATTCTTGCATGCTGACCTGCAAGAGCAGATATTTATTGATCAACATCTTGGTTATGTGAAGCTTTAAAGTGAACATGAGGTGTATATACCGATAAAAGCGTTATATGGGCTAAAACAAGCTCCACGGGCTTGGTATACCAAGTATTGATGCCTATTTTTTGAAGGAAGGTTTTAAGAAATGTTCATATAAGCATACATTGTTTATTAAAATTGTTCATGGAGGAAAAATGCACATTGTGTGTCGATATGTCAATGATCTTATTTTTACTGAAAATGATAGGGACATATCCATGATGATTAAATTTGATATGTCTGATCTTGGAATTATGCATTATTTTCTTGGTATAAAAGTGAAGCAATCTGCTACTGGGATTTTTATTTCTCAAAAGAAATATGTGCAAGAGATTTTAGACAGGTTTCAAATGAAAAATTGTAATTGTGTGGGTACACCAATTGAGTTTGGTTTGAAGCTTTTCAAAGATCCTATAGAAAAGAAAACGGATAGCACCCTTTATAAGCAAATGGTGGAAAGCTTGATGCATTTGACTACAACAAGACCTTATATAATGTATGTTGTGAGTCTCATTAGCAGGTACATGGAATGCCCAAGGGAGATGCATCTTCTGGCTGCAAAAAGAATCTTTCAATACTCACAAGGTATTGCTGGCTATGCGTTGTTCTACAAGAAGGACGAAAAGTCTGATTTATTTGGCTTCACAGATAGTGATTATGCTCGTGATCAAGAAGCACTTCAGGATATGTTTTTATGCTGAATTCAGAGGATGTTTCATGTTCTTCTACGAAGCAACCTATTGTTACTCTGTCAGCTACAGAAGCTGAGTTAGTAGCTGCAATTTCAGGTCCATGTCAAGCTATTTGACTACGGAAGATTCTTAACTTCAGTTCAAACAACAAGGAGCCACTTCAATTTATTGTGACAGCAGTTCAGAAATTAAGGTCTCTAAAAATCCTGTTCTTCACGGAAGAAGCAAGCATATAAATGTAAAGTATCTTTTCTTAAGGGACCTCACAAAAGATGAAGTGATTAATCTTATTTTTTGTAGAAGTGAAGACCAAGCGCTTTAGAGTTCATCATTGTAAACTAAACGTTAAAACATCAGTTTAAGAGAGGGAACGTAAACACGTCTTTGATTTAGTTGTTTTGAGTCCAGTATTGGTCCGTTTTATTTGTCCTAGTCTTTAGGAAATGGTTTAAGCTGACATATTCACCAAACCCCTCAAGTCTTTTATGTATTGCCTATTTAAAGGCTATTATCTTAATGAACAATATAACAGTTCACCGGAATACCTCCTCAGCTTATTGTTAACGATAAGACTACTGTATTGTGCTCATTGTTAACAGTAAGACTACCTGGCCAATCTCATAACATGTAAAGCATGACAAGGCATTTGTAGCAATCACCATTCACCATTTCTGTCATTCAGCATCGCTAGTGTCATTCCACGTGATTGCTATCTTAGGAACATAATTCCAGCACTAATGGACAGGGATGATTATCAGTTACATCCCACAGCATTCAACAGCTAAACCCCATAACTGGGGTCTCGTTTTCCAGACATTTATGGGATTCATACCATACAAACGGGGAAGATCCATTTATTCATTGCCATAAGAGGATAAATTTACAACAAATGGGAATACGAATAATTTGCAAGCTCAAAATTTATAAGTTCAATGCTCTCAAGCCTACCCGTGCCAGTTAATTTTTTTTTCAGCACTACTAATCCTAGACCAAAAAATATTTGACTAAAAGAACCCAAAATTTTTTTTACTGCCAGTAGTAGAATGTGATTATAAGCCTGAACATGAAAAGAGTTATCTGGCGGTTGGCTGTGCAATGGAATCATCAAGCGCCAGGTAATTCTCAGTTCCACCCAAATCCAAAGAACCCAAGTTGAGTGAAGAATGAACAGAATTTCTCGACATTTCATCAGATATACCTTCTCTTGCTGCTGTCGCCTCCCTTTCAATTAAGATAGCATCTTGGATCTCCTTGAGAACTTCGGAAATAGATGGCCTCATGTGACCATGAGGCTGGACACACATCAAAGCTTTCTCTGCTATCTTCCACATTGACTGGATATCATATTCATCACATAGCGAGGGATCAATGATTCCTTGGATATCCCCACTCTCAATGTGTAGTTTTGCCTGTCATGCAATTATTTAAGTCTATCGGCAACCCTAGCAATTTCCAGAAATTAAATGAACGAAGTTCTGAAGGAAATGTAGGAAACTTTTTGTGACAAAATCAAGCCGAATGTCCCAAGCAGGAAATAAGAAGGAATGTTCCAGATATGTTAAATGCTATGCACTATCAAATTCAAATGAATGATTTCATCGTCTTCCAGGAACAAACAGAAAGTGAAAACAGAAAACAAAGTAAAAGACCCATTAAAAGCTTTAACATTTCTCTAAACCATTAGCATTCCCATACTACACTTTGTAAATATTTAGAGCTTATTTGACAACCTTGATTGAGTTATTTTTCAACCTTTTTGACCTAAAGCAAAATTATATTAACTTGGCATTATTTGGTTGACATTATCTTTTGACTTTAATCCATAAGTTATAGATTCAAGTAAAATTTTGCTCAAACAAAAATACTTGAGAAAAAATAGTTCTTGATTTGAACAAAGTTCATTTAAGAGATAAAGAGAAATAAAGCATGTATATAATAATAACACCAAACATATTTATTCAAGTTAAATCATTTTGCCAGAAGAACTTATTGGTTTCAATTGTAGAAATTTTTGGATTATTACTAAGAGTCTAGCATAAGTCATGCTAAATGTGTTTTTAATTTGGATTTGGTTGTTCGAATAATGATCATCATTGATGAAGTTTCGAAGGCAAGTGGTAAAAATTCCTAGCCTCTAGTCCTTGAACAATCAACCAGCTTACCCATTGTACTATATTGCGACAATTTACACCAAAGCTCTCATTAGATATGGCTTCTTGACCAGACATCAGCTCCAGGAGAATGACACCAAAACTATAAACATCACTCTTGTCTGTTAACTGTTGAGAGATGTAATACCTGTGTATCATAGAATGAAAGATTATAAATGCAATGTGATAACAGTCAAAGCACCCATGTCAGCAGAAAGTGTTTGCCTAACTCAAAACTCATTCTTGACTCAAGGCCTCATTGTAGTCATTAAAATCATTTTCTATACGAAAAAAGGAATGTGGCTAGTTAACGACCATGAACAAACACATCTATGGCTAAGAGAGCGTGTGCAACAGAGTTCTAGACACAGATGTCATGTCTCAAACTTAAATATAACATTACCATTTTGTTGTAAGCAAATAATTAATAAGAAGGCCCCTATACTTCGCAATAATTACAGGATTTTGAAGTTCAAAACCGTCATAATTAATTCTCCTAGATCATACTGCTTGAGATTGATGTATCATAAAACTAAAGAAAAGAACCTTACTCGGGATCCAAATACCCGACGGTGCCTCGAACTATGCTTGAGACATGTGAAGCTCCATCGACTGCAAGTTTTGAAAGGCCAAAATCTGCAACCTTCGCTCTCATGTTTTTGTCAAGAAGAATATTGCTGGTTTTCAAATCCCTGTGGATAATGGCTGGAACACAGCCTGTATGAAGATATTCAATCCCTGAACAAGGATGGAAACACAATCAGTTCGACACTTCAACTGCAACTCTAACTTACGTGAGAGGCTTTACCATATCTTAGGAAAAGAAAAAGGGGGAAAAAAGGGCTTATCATAAACCTTTTGCAGCATCTTCAGCAATCTCAAGGCGCTTGATCCAATTAATACTTCTTCCACGTTTTAACGGACCTGCAAAAGTGTAAAAAACGTGAGTATCAAAATTTAAATAAGTCCAATTCAAAAACACTTGAAATTACCATAAAGATGTTCCTTGAGCGTTCCATTGAGCATGAACTCGTAAACGAGCATACTCTTCCCATCTTCTTGACAAAATCCAAGAAACTGTACAAGGTTTCTGTGATGTATCCTTGACAGAAGAGTCACCTGTGCCCAATAGCAGCACAAATCAATTCACAGTTTCAGCTCCAACTAAAAAATATAATACTTGATACAGCATGATTCACAAACAAACTACTTTCCTACAGAACAATATCCCTTTCAGGAATATATGTATGAAGCTTAAAAAATGTATGTGTGTTTGCAAATCAGTTTTAACTCTTATACAGTTCATAAACTAGTGTAAACAATACAGAGGATTTTATCCATTTATTTAACCAGGCACTTCAAATGCAAGGAAATGCAGGGACTCGTTAATATTTATTAAAGGATTAAGGCGCTCAACTGTTGCAAGTTCTACGTGTTAATGAATTCTGGTGTATCTTACTGAATTTTTCTAAAGTAGCTCCATCTAATTTGATTTGCAATAGGCTAAATCACTCTTGTGGTGATCTGTACGAACCTTAGGTTAAAACAAAATATCCACATTTTAATCAGAAATTCTACACCTTACAGATTCAATGGAGTTGGGAACTCTAAAAATGATTCACACTAGAATGTTTCTAAGCCAAAACTGACAGTGTAATTTTTTTTTAAAAAAAGTACTTGCTGCATTTTCAAATAGAGTTCAGGATCAATGGCATCTAGTTAGAAACAAGAATCCACTTTGCATTCAATGGTTAAACAATTTCAACCAGTGTATATATATACAATAAAGGAAAATCATATGAACCTTCAAGCAGCTTCATAAATGAGTGAAGAAAAACACAATTCATTATTCAAATAGTATGAATTTAATATCCTCATTCATAACAGCAATTTAGTTATTGAATGAAGTTCATTAAGTGAAAATTTACCTCATTCGAAAACTCTCGCTTTCCCTGGTAGGAATTGCTAGTTAGAACTTTCACTGCAATTTCCCTTCCGTCTTTCATTTTTCCATAGTACACCACTCCAAAACCTCCAGAGCCTATTTTCTTCTCAAACTTTTTTGTAGCATCTTCAATTTCAAACGATGTGAAACAGTGAGCAGCTTCACCGGGAGCATTACTCGAGGAAGAAACTAGCCTTTGCACAGGCAGGGAATCTCGAAGTTGTTCTAGAAAAGACAAGATACGTATGTTTTATCATCTGAGAAGTTCAGCAGGCTACACAGAAACCTTAAAATTGTTTTATAGCCATACCTTGGTCGGGCTGTCTTTTCTTTCCCTTGTGCATGAACAAGCAAGACACTATTGTAGTTATCAGAAGAACAGCAGCTCCAACTGATGAGCCAATAATAATATCCATATGCCTCCCTTTTCTGGCTCCTTCATGAAGATTAATGTTTCCAGAGTAGCTGTGGTTAAACCAAGAAAACAGATAAAATGTGTTTAATTTTAAAGGCACCAATGTATGTGCACTTCCAATCACATGATTGGAAGTGTAATGGCAAAGAAGTTGACATGAGACATGTATAAGATGTCCACTGATGTGAAGTAACTAGGGTACATAAGCAATAAGGAGAATCCTCAAAGAAACTTCGGACTTGGCCCCTAGGGGTTCACTGTTATTGTGGCTAGCATGTTCTTGGATCATGATAAGTTTACAAAAGCCAACTTGGAGTTCCCATTGGGATTGCAGCACTTCAACCCCATTTCAGTGAACCATACTGGAAAGATATTTGAGTGGGAAGATTTTAGTACTATGATAAGGTGAAAGAAAGCCTGATTGTATGAGGTTGTCCCTCACAGACCTTACGTGGAGCCTGTAACACAATTCCTACTTCTGACTGGTCCTTTTGGGACTATGCAAAGGTGTGAGTAACAGATCTTCAGATCATGACATGTGAGTAATAACTAAAAAGGAGAAATGATAAAAGAATATGGGACAGTAAAGTATTGAAAGACCTACTAACACATATAATGAATAAATTAGAAGACCTCAATCAAAAAGGCCAACACATTAAACCACATGCAGTTGGTAATAGGTACTTCAATTGACTAGTGCTATGTACTTATTATGTGTAGAGGTAGTTCAAGAGCTTCTCATTATGGCTGAGAAAGATGTATGCATCTTGTGCACAAATGCTAGTAAATGAATTCTTTGGCCATGATCAATAATATGCAAAATTCCGCATATTAACAAACCATCCCAAAGTGGTGTGCATGCTAGTATGTGTGTGCGAGAGAAAGAGAGAGAGAGACTCACTTCAAAGCCACCTTTCTACCGAGACCCGATGGTATTGTTCCAGATAACATATTATTTTGCACATATCTGCAATCATCCCATGTGTTAAGCAAATAAATTCTTTCACTAAAGAGCAAACCAGAAAAAAAATGCAATGCGATGAATTATTTACTTAAACTAATAATTTTGTGTCTTTGAAGTTTCGCCAAAAAAAACATGTCCATATAAAGTTCTGTTGCTGCTTCCAAGCATCATTCACCAGTCAAGGTAGAAAGGTATATTAATTATTAAATTACCATGAGAGATTATGCATAGTTCTTCATATAACTGACATCCAAGTTCTGATAACTTACAGTTGCCTCAAATTTGGTAGGTTCAGTAAGGATGATGGCAGCTCTCCCGTCAACTGATTGTTCTCGAAATGACTGTCAGACATGGAGGATCTTGTTAGGTTAACATTTTAATAAAAACCAAGATTTAAACACCATGATTAAGAGAAGCCATCCATCTTTACATTATCTCCAAGTCTGTGCATCCAGTTAAATCAGGAATTGGACCAGTCAGTGAATTTCCATCAAGCCATCTGACCATAAGACAAGTGGATAAGGATGATGTGGGGGTTTAAACCATTACAGCAGTAAGCCTTAAAACTTAATCCAGTATCTAGCCAAAAGAAAAGTAACTTGAAACTTACAATTCAACTAAACCTGTCAACTTCGTAATGTCTGAAGGAACATTCCCAGACAAATTCTTGCTAGACAAGGAACTGCAAAACCAGGTACATAGAAGTTATATAACTAAATGAACGTACAATTCTCCTCAAACATGGATAAATGAAGGAATGAATCTGTACGGGCATAAAATTAAATCCCAAAAGAGATAAATCATTACAGCTTAACTATCCTTGGCCTTGCATCGGAGTTACACTGCACCCATGACCATGGAACTGGCAGGCATGGGTCACCACCTTCTTGTGCCCAATCTGCTGTCAAGTGGGATGAAACAACACCAGAAATAGCATCTCCTGCACCTCATGCAAATTTAGCATCAGCTACACTTTAATTAGGTTTCAATTTTTCACAATATTATGTGATATGCTAGATAATCTGCTTGATGGTAAAAAGGAAAATGGCAATGCCAAATTAGCAGAAATTATGCTTCAAAAACAGTTTAAAACACCAAAATTTCAGGTCTCTGCTAAAGTTCACAGTCGAAATGATACAAGTGCATGCAAGGAATATTGTACTACTAACCATCTAGGGAACCATCATTTTTCTCAATATACTTGCTTATCTCAATAGCATTCACAAGTGGTCCCCTGGAAGAATCAGAAGTCTTTCCAAATCTAAAAGATAATACGAAGGGTAGAGATAGGTTGGTATATCCAGGTGCATAGAGACGATATTTTCCTTGAGCATTTTCTTCAATATTAACAATAGCTTTGCTCATATCAGGGTACCCTGGGAGCACCAGCCTGAATTTTCTAGACTCGTCGGGATCTAGATCTTCAATTTCAGCTAAGTATGTGACAGCCCACCCAAAACCAGGAAATCCATCCAAGTTCAACCGATAAGTTAGTGATCCATTTGTGCCGACCACAGCTGTTTGCATCACTCTCTCAGGAGGCCTTTCATCATTATTGACATCAATTGGCAGGTTAGTTGATACTTTCTTGGTACCAGCAGCAACATCAACGAGATAATTAGCTTTCTTCACAGAGTCAGACTGCCAGATTCTATCATATGGATCATCAGGATACCTGACAAACAGAACAGAGTTATATTCTTCTATAACACAGACACAAAAACAAATATATATAATTAAAGATTTACATTCTACCATATGGATCAGAGTTATGTTCTTCTATAATGTGTGTGTGTGTGTAAAATTCAAGATTTGTGTCTGAAAGAAAAAAATAACATGATAACTGCCGAAGCAGCAACAAATTTCCAAGCTAAAGTATTTCAACTATGAGGAATAGAGGTGCTTTCGCACATCATATAAGTTTAAATAATTGAATGTGTTTTTTCATTCTCTATCCCTCTGTTAAAGTTTAAGCAGCTGTTGGTGGAACAAGCATTCAGATAAATGTGCACCAGTAAAAATTACAATATGTTGGACCTTGAACCAGACATTTTGAGCATACCTAATTGGAGCCTCGCTATCTGCACCAAAATTGATTCTGGCAGACACACTGAGATAAAACTGGTTTTCAAAGTCTGTATAATAAACTGAACCATTGAATTGTCGGAGCTCAAGAGTAGATATGAATGGCTGCCCAGTTGTAGCATTGGATAGGCATACACTGATAGAAGAACTTGAAGCCAGAAATATTAGCTCTATAGACTCTATGGTATTAGCATCAGAAATGACAATTGTAGACCAATGAGTTGGTCCAACAGAAATGTCAAATTTTGGATAAACGTTATTGTTGTCAAAGTTACCATACAAGAAGGTTGCCCTTAAAAGGTATCTTGTCCTACTAGTGACATCCAGTCTATAACAGTACTTCCTGGAATCTGCAGGAAAATGTCTTACTGTAGTATATTGCTGCCGTGTCTCATTGGCAACTGATATGCTTGCTACTTCTCCGTAAGTAAAATTAACATCTGAAGTCCACCACAGTCCAAGTTCATCAGTGAAATTTACTGGGCCCCCACAGTTCAAACTCAGAAAACCTGTTTTAGTTCAAGCATATTCACATTATTGGGTTAAAAAATAAAAACATTTTCGCATTGTTGTTAATATACAGAAACAGGATTTTCATGTCGGAAAAACACACAGGCAAGCACGTGTAGAGGGGCAGGGGGGTTCAGGTAGAAATTTAGCGAAAAAAAAAGACAAAAATTAGCTGACATTATTTAAAAAATTATTGACCGGATGTATCAAGAAAAAGGAAGAATGAAAGATTACTATTTCACTTCCCAGGTCAACATGTGTTCGAACATGTCACAACATGTAATTCAAGAAAAAAACTGCCTAAACCGACGAGTTGAGCATTTTTCAAGTATTGATTACATTTTTCATTATCTTAAAGGATCCATAAAAAGAAAGTAACTTTTAGCTAGGAAGCAACCCAACAAATTGGTACGTTTCTGCTGTCATTTCATATTTTACATTAACAAGAGAAAATATCATCGTTTTCTAGTATTATGCGCATGATTAGAGACATAGGACCGCCCAAATTTGGTCAAAAAATGCACCAAATTACAAAAAGTAAATCACAATTCGACCTTTCATGTGCCAGCTACGTTGCTGGTTGTAACATCTCTCTAAAGATGCTACCAATAAAAAGATGCACTACATGCACCCCATACTCAAAGAACTCAGCATTGTACATACGAAATGGGCGGCTCGTCCATTTTGTATTAAACTACTCATGTCGTTAAGCAATTGTCTCTAACTTGGACTAAAACCCCCAAATTTCGCTATTTTAATCAGTGTCCATTGCATTGATAGTGTAGTGTAATTTTCATCTACCGACTCCAGGCACAACTGATTAGAGAAACCTTTACCAATACAGTAAGACGTAAATGACAATAAGATTCTAGTCTTCCAGGAAAGACACCGAAATCAGAAGATTTAAGTCTTCCAGCTATAGTTAGTTTATTAATTGCTGACTTGATCGATTTTTTTAACGCACAAAGAAGAATATAATGTCAAAACTAAAACCCACGTAAATTTCTTTGTTTGCTAGTCACTAACCAAAACACCTATCAAATTTCAGAACTATATACAGTACAAAGAACAAAAAAAAAAAAACACTGGACAATTCAAACCAAAAGAAAGCTCTTTTCTTTTCTTTTTAAACTTATAGCTCTATAAAAATGGTGCCTTTGAATCTCATCTTCAAGAGAATCAAGAACAATAAAGCAATAGCCACCAATAAAAACAAATGAAAATGTTTGGTCAAGTGAGTAGATATTGTACTACTGACATAATACTATATAGAGAGTGAGAGAAAGAGGTACCACCGTACCAGGCTGAGCTGAGGAGGCTTGAAAGAAGATAAGAAGAGAGAAAAGAAGCAGCCAGGACCCCATCTTCTCTAGAGCAACTGATTTAGATGAGACCCATAAAAATAAAAATGGTGGCAAACACAAAGAGAGAAACAAGAGAAGAAAACAATAAAAGAGATGAGAGGAAGGGGTGGAGAAGGATAAAAAAGCAGGGGTTTCCTTTAAATTTTTTAATAGTACTATGCAAGGAAAAATCAATGCTAGTGTCTGTTAGCACTCTGTTTTGATCCCAGAGAGAGAAAGACAGTGTTAAAGTGAAGGTGAATGATTTGAAGAGAGAGAGAGGAAGTGGTGGAGGGTAAGGAGTCCTTTTGGCGATGGTAGTGCTTTGGTCATAGAATCATGCACCATGTTGTAAACTTATTGATCTCTCTGCTTTGCTTTTTCGTTGCATTTTTTTTTTTTTTTTTTTGGCTTTGGGAATGGTGGCAAGTAAAGTTGGCCATGTGGGACCCTAAAATTGGCTTTTATTTGGTTAATTTGTACTCTTGTTGTGTGACTAGGTAAAATGGGTGGTAAATTTTGGAGGGTTATAGTGAAAGGACTAGATTCTGTAATCAGTAAAATTAGGAGGACTTGGGGGTCCCATGATTATTCTTCCGCCACGTCAAGTCACATCGCTGCATGTCATCTTCTTCCCATAATCCCAGGCAACTTAGATTCTTCATCGAGAATTTAAAAAGTTGTTAAGGTTTAAACGGATTTTGTGCACAACCACTGCTTAACGGTTAAGTTACGACACCATTTGCCGACTCATGTGGTTTCTTTCTTTCTCTCCTTCATACCTGCCTTGTCTTGTCTACAAGTCATTATCTACTCCAATTTATTTTTCGAAATGGCCCATTAAAGCTTAAGCATTTCTTTCTGTCTATATAATGCTGAAAGATAATTGTGAGTGTCAAGTGATATAATTGACATTTTCTAAATTATTTGCCACGAATCGTCATGCTGTATGGGTAGGTTGGTTATAAAGGATTTAAATCTTACTAATTTCAAGATGATTTTGATGTGTATAACTTGTTTTCAACCAAATGAAAACGGGATTGATTCAAGTTTCAACGTGAAGATATCATATAAACTACGTATCAAAACAATTACAAGATGGATTGTGCGAAATGTCTCAATCACGCTACTCCTTAATCATTAATTAATTAATGAGAATTGTAGACTTGTAGAAGTGGAAACGTATGACATATTTTTGTCAAATTCGTGATGAGATAACGATTGAATACTGCTGAATTCGAGTACATTCTTTAATTATTACGCCTAATCCTCTAAGTAATGGCAAGCTAGGCTGATTGTTTTGTTGCTAGTTTGAAGTTTCTAGATACATAATCACTGTTTAACTACCTTCTTCTTCTTCGGCTAAATCCTTTTCTCAAGTAATAAGAACAAGTTCAATTGTTCTCGTTGGCGGGCATGGATATAATTCGTTATTAAAATACAGCTTATGGAGGAAATTTTTATACAAAGGCAGGATGGTTTGTAAGATGGCTAAAACATAAGTCAATGAAACAACAAGGAGCAGGGAGGAGGGAGGCATGGAATATGTCAGAAAAAAATGGCAATAATCAAAGGCATATATATGCTACTGATAAGAAAATTAAGTCAAACAATGGTATGCTATGGGTCAAATCTAGAATTTCAGCCATTAATGGCGTGGTCTTCAAAACCCAGAATCAATTTCCTTATCTCCATTTTGTCACAACTAAAAATCCAACACCAAAACAACCTCAACTACTCTACATCTCTGATCTCGTTTTTATCAAAAAAAAATCACAACACCCCAAGACCACTTCTATTGTTAGCATCTTACGTTACCCACAACAACAAAAACTGAGATCTAATCATCGGGAAGGGAATTAGGCTATAGTCTCAATGAGTTCGCACCACCACGGGCTTTCCTCCGGTATCCTTAACCGACGGCAAATCCTCCGTTTCATTCATTTTTTTCTCGGATTTCTTTTGTCTCTCCACTTGCCTTCCTCCCACGAAGACAGTTGTTGGTGGGGGCGGTGGATTTTCTTGATTCTAGTGGTTATGGGTATTGTTGTTGGTGTTGGCTGTGTGTTTAATGTAGGCAGCTTCTTTGATGATTTTTCAGGGCGTGTGAGAGAGAAGAGCTTTGAATTTTGATTTTTTTCCGTTATGATTTGAGAGAGAGAGAATCGATTCTGTTTTTTTTTTTTTTAGTTTTGTGTTAAAATGTATTATTTTCTTTTAGATTCCAAAAATTCACAAAATTCATGTTTTTATACTTTCACTAAATTTTGATATTATTCGTAAATGATTTCAAAATCAACAAAAATATAATTCTTGAAGAAAGAGCTGGAGCAGAAATAGTCAAATGACACGTGGTGAGTAACTGGAAGAGTTACCGTTCTATCTTGACGCCGTTACTTATAGAGGGCAGTTATTAAGGGACCTCATTAAACATTCTCCAGTAGTGGAGGGATGAATGGTATCATCAACCCGATTGTAATACCAGGTTGGAACATCATCCCAGATTCAAAAAATAAAGGGAGCAAAATATTTGAGAATAAACAGACGAAGGCATGGCAGGAACATGGATACGAAGGTCACTCTAGCCAATGCAGTGAGAGAATGGTTGTGAAAAAAGAGAGTGATGGCCGTAAAAGTTGAAAAGGATAGACCTAATGATGCAGGAAGTGGAATGCACGTGCACCACCTGACTTGATTGATAAGCTCTGGACGACGGTTGAAACTTGGTTTGACCGGCTCAACCAAGTTGTGTTCGCGAGATTCCTTGGCCATTTATCCCTTTGAAATCTGTGAAACCAAATTTATTTATCCCTCAACAACGGAACGTAACTCCTTGCTTACAGCTGAAGCAAAAGGAATTAGCCTATTTTCTGCTCTCTCTCTCTCTTTTTTTTTTTTTAACTTCATGACCGGTTGCTTATTTTTCTATATTTGTAATAAAATCATTCGGATTTAAACAAGTTCACGTTAACTTACTGGTTGGTATCTTCGATAATTTGAAACAACCTAACAGTCCAAAAAGGAAAGGCCACAACTGTTCAATTAGCATAAAAGAGAGCACAGGCAGCCACTAACATTCCTATCTACCGTAAATCTGACTGTTCAGTGAGGGTTTCTAGCATACGAATGAATTTAGGGCATGTTTGGTAATGTGATATAAGTGATTTTACAAAAATATGTTTGAAGTTTTTTTTATTATTATTATTATATCAATTCTTTTCTGAAAGCATTTGTATATATTTTCAAAATAAATGTATTTTGAAAAATATTTGCAAACGTGTTACGAACATAACCTTAACGTTAAAAATAATTCTATCCGGCCACTATATAAATTGAGGATAAACTAATTCTCCTGAAAATTAATGAGCAATTTGCTTATTCAATCCTTTAAAATGAGTAGAATTGCATTCATATCCTTTCTCGTATTTTCGGTTAGTATCTCGTGATGGTTTAAGTTAGGATCTTGTTTGCATTTAATTACATGCGACGAAGCTTGCTTCTTCCAAAAGTACAGAGTCCGTAGATTGACACACACACATACATAATTATAAGGAATTCAGGTACATGAAAATAAAAAATCGTAAATTGACACACACAAATAATCATAATTGGACTGTAATTGCATTAAAAAAAAAAAAAAAGAATTTGGTCAAAAGAATCCCCGAAAATTCTAACCACTTTATAAACCAACTACTTTATATATTATTATTGGTCGCCCAAATATGTTAGGTTAATTTAAAGGTGGGTTATTATATACCAAAGTATGATTTATACAGTACTTATAAGACTGATAAAAAAGTCGACCCATATTCCCTCCCATTATTGTTAGTTAACAACCTGGAAAGTATATTTTAGCATCCTAGTTCTAGCTTTACATGAGTAAAAACAAAAAAAACAAAAAACACCCTGGCTTTTATCAAGAATAGGAATTTTTTTTTTGTTGGGAGAGGACCGTAAAATGGGTTTAGAATAAACAAAAGAAGGAGCCAAACATTAGTACTTATTAGACCATGTATACTTTACTACTCTCTGTATATTCCTAAGGAATTATTGATTTGTATTTACAAATTTATATACTAATCATTAAATATTTTTTAAAATGGCCTTAAAATTGAATAAATATAAATATAGAGATAGTGGGAAAAAATACGAAAGAATATTATCAAATCATATAATAAGCCGAGCATGTGAAACTTAAAACACATTTCCACTGTTTTTTGCTTTCCGCAGCATCTTATGTTATATCCAGCCTTTTGGTTTGGAAGGAAACTTCATCTCTGAATTTAATATTACTATCTTATTTACCTTTTCGAAATCTCTATAATTTGTCCAGGAATGCAATTAGTTGCTTTAAGTAAAAAGAGAGTTTATGATTTATGTATCATTCATGTTGGTCTAAAAAGGAAACCCCACATACCTCTACCATTCCTTAATTATTTACGTTAGCAAACTTTCAACAAGATTGGTGCCTTTTCTTTATGGAGCTGTTTTAAGGCCTCCTTTTTTATCAAAGTATAGCTTTGTCCCAACTTTACAAAAAGAAGAACAGATCTCTCTCTCTCTCTTTTTCTTTCTTTCTTTTTTAGTGCCCTTTTCCTTTTACCATTTGGGCTTGGGATCACGGAATCAAATGTTACTGGTACGTATTCTCAGACTTGTTTGAAGCACGTACCTATATTTTTATATGATAAAATATGTACATGATCAACTTTTCTTAATGTGCAAGTCTTTGAAGAGCTGACAAGCATTACGGTACTATGAAAGAAACAGCATAGCGGTACTAGCTAATATCTACTCTCTGCCAATCACATCCATTCACAAAAAAATTGGTTCTGCATGCGCCGGGTCCAGCCCATGGTTATATTTAATATTGTCTGTTCTGAGAAAGCATAATATCCAATGTGTTCGTTATTAAAGGCAAGTCCTTGAAATGATTTTCCATCTTGATTTGATGAAATTTACGCAATACAAAAAATTAAACCTTCAGCTACCGAATTTTCCATGGCTAAACATATATAATC